CAAAGCTCCGCTGCTTTTTTAATAGCTTTTCTATGTAAATATGACGCTAGATGGAAATCTTTGACCATTGCGCCTCGCAGCTTTTTCAATGTGTCGCGCTCGAGACCCAGGCTTCTTTTCCATTCATCAGCTGCGACTCTGCAATTGCACACTAATGCGCGTCTCGTGTTTATAAGAGCAAAAACTTCTGATTGGCTAGTAATGTTAGTTTGGTTGAGAGTGAAAGCTGTGTTCCTCTCATACATTGGTAGGCGAACTCATGAACTCGAATGTGATATCAACAAGTGTTTTCAAATGTAGGATGACTATCTTTTTTTCCCCGCAGCCAAACGCCGCACACCGGAGATCCGGTGTAGTGCCGGATTCTGCACACTGCCAGATTATGCATCCCCTAGTATTGGTAGGTTTAGGAGTAGGTCTGGGGGAGGGGTTAGATTTTTAATATTCACAAAATTATCTAAAATATGCATTTAGAAAGTCAGGGGAATGTTAATTTCATGCCAACTTTAATTAAGTTCTGACCCCCCCCACCCATTAGCCAATTATAACAGGTCCTTTGCATCTAGAAGTCTTAAAGGTACAGAAGTAAAAACAGTTTCCGTTCATTTAATCAGCATTGGCACAAACATTTGATCGGAGAACTACAGCGGATAGATTTTCAGTGATTTAATACTGGGTGGCTATTGTAAGAGTCATATATACTTTAAGAATAGTTTGATGGTGCTTTATGGTCCTCATCCACTTTTATTATACAGGAAATACTGGCTGGTATACAGTTAACAAAAATTCCACCTTTTCTGTTTCACCGAAAAAAGTAATCTGGGTTAGGAACGACATGATTTCTGTCATTTGTTAATCCGGATGTATACTCACAGGCGTCTGTCCTCTTCCTCTTGTTTGCGCTTCTGCTCCTCTTCCTCACGTCTCTTCCTCTCTCTTTCCATTTCCTCTTGGATGCGTCTCAGACGCTCCATCTCCTCCTCCTCCTGCTTCTTCTTCTGCATGGCGCTGAGTAGCTCCTGCGAGCGAGTGACCAGAGCCTGGTGCTCATGGTCGATGTCTATGCGGCTCATTACAGTGCTCTAGAGAGAGGAGATACACACAGGACATGGTTCTTCATCTACAGCTCTTGTAGGTTAAATGAGGAACAGGGGTTTTCAGAAATATGCACTGGACGTGTTCTTTCTCTCTGATACACACCTTTATCTTGAGTATGTGGGCGTTGATAGAGGAATCGAGTTCCTGCATGTGTTTGCTCATCTCCTGTTTTCCCTCCTTTAGTCCAGACACCACCTCATTCAGCTTCTCCATCCTCTTCTTCAGGTTACGTGCCTTCACCAGCCCATCGATCCTAACACACACACACACACACACACACACACACATTAATGCTTTTCACTCCTGCTCGAGTATTCCTGAGCTTTCAACAGTTTTACACGCAGCATCTGTGACGTATTGATGCTTACCACAGAAATTAATTTCAGATTCATTATTGTTCAAATGTTTTGCTTTTACTCATCAAGGGCTGCATTTATTTGAATCGCCTGAATACAGTAAAAACTGTAATATTCTAAAATATCATTCAGTTTAAAATAACAATTCAAATAGATTTTCTAAAATGATAGAAAAGCTCAATTTACTCCAGTATTCAGTGTCACATGATCCTTGTCATTCGAAATCATTCTAATATGTTGATTTGCTGTTCTGAAAACTTTTCGTTATTATTATCAATGTTGAAAACATTTGTGCTGCTTAATATTTTTTGCAGAAACTGTGATATTTTTTTTTCTTTGATGAATATAATGTTTAAAAGAACACATTTGTGTGAAATATGTGACCCTGGACCACAAAAGCAGTCTTAAGTCGCTGGGGTATATTTGTAGCAATAGCCAAAAATACATAGTATGGGTCAAAATTATAGATTTTTCTTTTATGCCAAAAATCATTAGGATATTAAGTAAAGATCATGTTCCATGAAGATATTTTGTAAATTTCCTACCGTAAATATATCAAAACTTAATTTTTGATTAGTAATATGCATTGCTAAGAACTTCATTTGGACAACTTTAAAGATGATTTTCTCAATATTTTGATTTTCTTGCACCCTCAGATTCCAGATTTTCAAATAGTTGTAAATCTCAATTTTGAGAAATTGATCCTTATGACTGGTTTTGTGGTCCAGGGTCACATATAAATCTTTTGTAACATTATAAATGTCTTTACTGACTTACATGTGCTAATTTAATTAATGCAGGGGGCAAACAAAATGTTACAAAGTTTCGTTTTTAACTTTTCATTTAAAATACTGAATCGCACAGCAGTCTAATACCAACATGTTTAAGTGTTATAGGTATATGATAACAGCTAGATATTTGCATGTTTTAAATGTTTATTTACAAAGTTGCCTGCTAGACTTTTAGTAAATGTAATGCTGTACCGCATGAGCGAAAATGCCAGCATGTCACTATTTTCCATCACTAAGAAACATTGAAGAGAGGAAGTGCTGCCCACCGGGGTTTGTGTTTCCTCTGGCACAGCCACATGCGGACGGTCTTCTGCATCTGGATACACGCTTTGGCTCGGTACAGCATCTTGTTTTTCACTGACAGAGCAAGAAAAAAACGTTAAACAACTCAAACTGAGGGTATCGATTATTATTTTAGCCCTTCATTTATTCATTTCTGTAATTTTTCTTATGTTTATTTCTGTATTTATTCTTTGATTTTTTTGTATCCATATTGTTTTATTTCTATTTTTTTTTAAAGCAGGCAAAATGTACACAGAATACAAGGGAACTCCTTCAATAGTGTTTACAAAGCATCCCAAGATGCATCTCCTGATGTCTATGTAAGTCTAGACTGAATCTAAACACAGTGTGGACCAATGGCTTAATTTCTGCAGAACTGGTTCTCCTCTGTATGTGTACATAAACCTCAGGTCCTAATTAAAGAGTAACAATCAGTTAGTTACATACGTTTAATGACGGACAGGGCGCACCACTGCACCTTCTTCCAGCGGCTGCAGATGAGCCATTTATTAACACGCTTCACCAGTTCAGCCAGATGATCTGGATCTGACTTCATGATCTGATCGAACTCCGCAAACTGACAACATCAAATCAGACAATACACCGCATGAACTTATGCTCACAGTCAGAAAAAGGACACGTGAATGAACAAGATTCCCATCACATAAAGATATATTAGGATGAATTCAATCAGAATTAACAGATGGGTTGGTCATAGTTCATTGCAAAGATAAAAAAAATACAAAATAAAAAGAACATTGTGATATTATTAGGACCATTCATATTTTGTCATTGAGACATTTTCTTCAAAACACCATGATATTACACATTTCTTTATCCAAAAATAGTTTCTTACTTTTTTAATTTGATTTTGGGGTAAAATATGACCTGCACATTTATCTGCATGAGACACAGTTAGAAAAAAATAAATAAATAAAATAAAACAGTAAAAAAAATAAAAAAATAAAAATAAAAATAAATAAAAAAAATAAAATAAAAAATAAAAAAATTTAAATTAAATACAATAAAATTAAAATTAAAATAAAATAAAATAAAATAAAATAAAAGGAAGATACATCACCTTTCCAGGTCTGAAGAAAACTTTTGTCAAACCAAATTTATAATCATTTTCATTCAGGCCGAGAGCTTTGAACAAAGCCTGTTGAGGAGGGGAAAAAAGTCTTAAATGCTTTTAATTTTTGAATAATATTACAGAGTGACAAACTTGTCATTACACTCGGTAGTAGTTGTCTGAGTAGCTGTTGGGAAACTTTCCCAGCACACAGAACAAACATCACCCAGCACATGCATTCACACGCTGACTGTGTTAATGTCCGGATGTCACACGCACCTTGCAGAAGAGTCGCGGGTCGAGCCGTGTCAGTTTGGCGGGCATGTACTGCTTGTACATGTTGTAGAGCTCGTGGAATGGCGCTCGAGAGGGGAAGCCGCCCTGCATCAGATCCAGTACTGACACCATCCCTGAGCACACAAACACAGAAACACAGTCAGAGAACAGCCAATGAGAATATCAGTAGATTTGATCCTGAAGCCGAGAAAGCTTTTAACATGTAGCAGTCCTGCCAATTCTGACCGGGATGAGAGCTAACACTCTGTCCCTTGACACTTCAATAATCAATCTTGCTGAATTTGAACTCTGCAGAGCCTGACATCTAAAAATAATAAGTCTAAAATATCTATTTTTTTTTTAAATAGAGCAGTTTATAGATTATTTAGACAACATCTTTAAAAGAAAGTCTGCATGTGTGTGTTTTTGTTGAGATACATCAGGTACCCAAACTGAGTATAAACTGAGAAATTTGGTGAAGATGCTAATAATTATATGGACAAAAAGTAAGATGAAATTCTGACAGCTTGTAAATGAATGTGAATGAATGAGATCTTCATAACAGTATCATACTATGTCAGTCTGCAGTAACAGGCTACTTACATAAAATGCATATAAATATCAGTTGTCACTCTATATCTCCCAATATTTATGTCTAAGTAAGATGATATTTAAATGCTTAGTTTTATGATCAAAGCTCTGTAGCTTTTTTTTGTGGGGGCAAAACATATAATGCAGTGCAATACAATGATCATCAAGAGACTAATAAATAAGTATTCCTCAAAACTGATCAAATAAATGCATGGATAATCAAGTAAACCTAAGTTGCTTCATTTTGAAATATTACTAGCAATGTCATTTTTTATTTATGTTTACTTCTGTATCAAAATCAGTACAGATTTCTCAGCAAAAAGACACGTGAACCACAACGTGAAAGGGTTTTTACAATTTTACTAAAAGTATAAGTTAGCAATCAGATGACCAAAGGCATGTAGAAGACTGTGTAGTTGATGCATCGTGTGTCCATGAGCTTCCCTCCCTCACCATAACATAATAAATGTCACATTAAAAACTTTAATGTAGCCTATCAATTAATATGAGGTCATAAAAGCTTCACTCATAATAAATAGCTATAGAAATGCTGTTTAAAATGGTTTTAGCTGGATTTTCACACCACTCCTCAGGATACATCAATCAAAATCCTGTAGGAAACAATGTGATGACACTGGCAGCTCTGTGTAATGTGATGTGTGTGTGTGTGTTAACCTGAGCACTGTAGTTGAGACAGAATCTGAGCGCCCTCAAAATGATGGCTGACCATCTTCAGATTGGGCTTCACACAGCGGACAAAACTTGAACCCTGAAACACACATGACCTGCTGTAATCCACAAACATGTCATTGCTTTCAGCTAAGGTATGTGGTAACATTTAGCATTTAGATAAAACTGAAAACAACAACAAAAATCAAAGTTGGGCTTGATGACTCACAGTACTGTGCAGCTTTTCCAGAAGAATATTCAGTTGCGTCTGTGAGAGAAAAATATGAAAAAATAAACAACAACACCTGGGTATCAAACGTAAAACTTTTTATGCCTGTCCAAATAACATTAAAGTGCCCCTATTATAGATTTTTGAAAATTAGCTTTCATGCAGTGTGTAACAGCTCTAAGTGAATGAAAACATCCTGAAAAGTTTTAAATCTGAAAGTGCACAGTGTATAAAGTGAAAGTGAAAGTGACGTGACATGTGGCCAAGTATGGTGACCCATACTCGGAATTAGTGCTCAGCATTTATCCCATCCAAAGTGCACACACACACCGTGAACACACACACACCGTGAACACACACCCGGAGCAGTGGGCAGCCATTTGTTTGCTGCGGCGCCCGGGGAGCAGTTGGGGGTTCGGTGCCTTGCTCAAGGGCACCTCAGTCGTGGTATTGAAGGTGGGAGAGAGCGCTGTACATTCACTCCCCCCACCTACAATCCCTGCCGGTACGAGACTCGAACCCGCAACCTTTGGGTTACGAGTCCGACTCTCTAACCATTAGGTCATGACTTCATGTATAAAGTTATTGTCTCTCAAAAGAAAGAGTCGACTCTGAATCATTGAAACGAGTCGTTTTTAAAACGAATCCCAAGCCGTTTCATGTTTATGTCAACATGAAACATTAGCATATTGCCCGTCCACTTGTTCTTTTCGCATTGGTCTGAATGAAAATGCAAATTCATTCTTTGCCACTAGTTGCTGCTTTTGGAGCGGTAAAATAGAATCGGACCAATCACCGCAGATTAGCATCATGCAAAGGAGGGGCTTGGAAAAATTAATCGTTGAACGAATCATTTGGGAGTCGTTGAGCAAGTAAGGTAAAAACAAATGCATATTATAAGACAATGAAAGTGTTTTTTGACCTTGCATGCATGTCAACCTGTTGTTGGGGACTCCCAAAACCGAAATATGAACCTTTCATTACCCATAATAGGGGCACTTTAATACAGTACAATTCCATACAATCTTAAGATGAATCATGAATCTTTTCCTTAATTAAACAGGCTGCAAACAAACGGGGAGACTGCAAGTTTCAAATACTCAAGACATGTTTTATTCAATATGAATTGAAACTGTTTTCTGTACTAATATATCAAGTATAGGCCTATCAATATTGGATTGTACTGATACAATAATATTGTTTTTAAAGAAATGCATACAAGAGATTACTGTGGTGATACTTGTCAATTCTCTGTATTGAATGTGCTAAAGTCTTTCTGCTCTGACAGGACAGCCCAGAGAGAAGAGTTTATGCCGAATTAAATGCCAGATACAGTTTAATATGTAATCAAAATAGAATATGCACACTTCCATCTACATCATAAACACCATAAAGCAAACACTGTCATAATTCATCAATAGTAGATCACAAGCAATTGATTATACACAGCAGTAGCTACTCATTGATTGTGAACTACTCCGAAACCGCAAAAATTGCGCAACAGCGCCACGTTTTGACTTTGAATGTGCAGTGCACATGTTCCTTTAATTAAATAACAGTCTTCTGAAGTTTATTAGTCACATTAGGCTGTATCGCAATTCCTGTTTTTCCGTCCCCAACACTTCTTAAATGGGAATGAAGGCCTATGTTAGATATGTTTTTAATACTTTTTAACTCTTTACCCGCCAGCATTTTTGAAAATAGTTGCCAGCCACCGCCAGCGATTTTGATGATTTTCACTAAAATTTGATGGCCTCCAGAATATTTTGTTGTATGAATATTTGAATATGCAATACACCACAATAAAGATCAGAGTCTCTACTTTTAAACAAAAAAATCAGTTTTATTCTAGCTTAAAGCATTCTTTTTTTTAATCAACACTTGAATATAGGTAGGTTTCATAAAAATGCATAATTTTGAGCAAAAAGGTGAGAAAATCAAATTTTTATCAAAAACTACATCTGGGTAATATTCAGTACGATTATCAAAGCATAAATCCAGTAAATCGCTTCTATCAACACCTCCAAAGCTTGCACAGACATATACCACTTCCTGGATCAACATTTTACTCCGTAACATTATGCAGTTTTCATTTATATGCTGCCATTGCTGATGATCGCATTATTTTTCATATGCATCTGTTTACATAAGAGATCGCTCGTTTCTCCGTCCTGTTCACTTGTGTTTTTGTTCGGGAGGTTGTGTACTCATTCAGAAGATGTGTAATAGCGCCCCCTAGTGTATAACAGTGAAAACACAAAAAGCCGTAAAAACTCGTCTTCGGCGGGGAAGCGCTGTCTTCTAAAAGACGAGATAACTCGTCAATGGCAGGGAAAGAGTTTAGAAACCGCAGGAACCCTGCTTATTTTCCCCTTCGAACAGCTGTCAGACTAAGTGATTTTGAGACTGACCTTGAATTTGTTGCCTACACTGATGAAGCTCAGTTTGCCGGCCTTCTGCTTGGTGTCTTTGGAGTGGTTGGAGTTCTCGAAGAGCTCTCCGATGAATTTGTCCTTCGACTCACTCACCAGACTCGCCAAGGACGTGTGAAGAGCATCGTTATTCTTCTCCACAAACCGAGTCTGAAAGAGAGTGGGGAAAATGTCTACATCACATAAAACTAAACTTTAAATTCCTTCTCTAGAAAGCAGATGAATTTAAGGTTTGGTCCAAAATGCAGCAATCAGACTCAGGTTCACTCCACAGGCTGCTAATTGACTCACTGGCCAGGATGATAGTTTGGCATGTTGAGATTATTTTAACTGAACCGTTAACGCCCCCTTGTGTCAGATCCAAAATATACCAACAGCCATGTCAATGGACACTACACAATTTGTTTGTCATTATGGTTTTCAATCACCTGTTTCATTATGGAAAGGGTTATTATAGCTTTCTTCTTCTTTTTTTAACATTTCCGTTTAGTTTTATTTGGTTAATTATCTTCAGCAATGGACTTGTTGGTTACAATGTAGTTTCATGTATCCATTTTTATTAAATTTTTAAAATATTTTTTATATCAGTTTTAGTATTCAAAGATGAAGTAGAAATTGAGGAATCAACAGAATATGACAGTTATTTATATCAAAAATATTTTAAAGCCTTCTTTACACTCTTATGGAGGCACAGAAGCTGCATCTGGAATAAATGCCACAATGGGAGATATTTTTTACATTTAAAATTGAATTCACATGAGCTCAGTATATCTGCAACTTTTTGATTCTTGAGCATTGTCAACAAAAAACTAAAACTGCACTGACTGAAATAGGTACCTACATCATTCCTGGTTAAAAAAAAAAAAAGAAGAGAAAAACAGCAACTTAAGAATCAACTATGGAAGCCCGTTTCCGCCACTGAATAAAAATGTTGCGTTATATTGAGTTATAAAGTCGAAATTGCGAGATATAATGTCAAAATTGCAAGATAAAAACTCGCTTCTGAACAGAAAAATTCTGACTTTTTCTCACAATTCTGACTTTATTTCTCAGAATTGCGAGTTAATTTCTCACAATTATGACTTTTTAACTCGCAATTGCAAGTTTATATCACGCAATTCTGAGAAAAAAGTCCGAATTGTGAGATAAAAAGTCGCAATTACCTTTTTTATTTTTTATTCAGTGGCAAAAACGGGCTTCCATAATCAACTTTGGGCAACAGAATCAAAGTGATCAATTTCTGACAAACAGCTTTTTCTCCAAAAAGGTTTTGTTTGCAGCCAAATACTTTGGGGATAAAGCAGTTAATGAGCTGAGTTGATAAACACATTTTGAAGGGAAAAAAAAAAAACTGTTATTTTTTTGAGGAAACTATGATACTTTTTTTCAGGATTCTTTGTTTAATAGAAAGTTCAAAATAGCATTTATTTCAAATAGAAATCTTTTGCATTATTATAAATGTTTTACGGTCACTTTTGATCAGTTTAATGTTTAGTTAAATGCTGGTCAAACCATTAGGCGACATAGATCTCTTGGAGGTGGTCTATTAAACAGGCTATTTTAATTTAGAAATCAGCAAAAATTGAGAGAACATTGATAAATCCTCATCTGGCGAGGGAGATTAATGTATTTTGAACTGAAGCAGAAGTACTGATGCCCAATTTGTGACTCTTTTAGGGTAATTTAGAATGTTTCCATTGAATTAATCAAACAAAACAAATACTGAAGATCTGAAAACGCCTTGTTTTCTCCCTAAATGCAGTGTTGGTGTACCGTTTCATAGCAGACTGCGCCAGCAAAGTGTCTTATGATGAAGCCCTCGTCGTCTCTGACGTTCCTGTGCACTGTCAGCTTGGACTTCCTGGGAACCTGTGGGACGGTGAAAGAGTTGAAGAATGAAGCCACTTAACTGGAGTGAGCCGCTGAAATGAGATGTAGAGTAAAGCGTGGCTCACAGTCAGGCGGAAATGGTCCTTGTGTTTGCCGTGGACGGTTTCAGTGAAGTGCTGGTCGCTGGGTTGAGGTAGCCGGTTCTCTTCATCCAAGATATCCAAGATGCCAACTAACTTCGCCTCCACCAAGTCTGAACAGGTGAAGATGCAAAGGCAGATTCATTCAATCATCAAGCTGCCAGAAGTTTCTGCATTCGGATTTATTTTGGTGTATAGAAGGGTGCAGATATCATTTTTGTACCCTATATGCCCAATCAAATCAGTGTAGTGTAGTCATGTTTAATGAGAAACAGACCTATACAGTCCTGATTATCAACGTAATGGACCTCATTGACCCCCAGACCTTCTCTTTGATACAATTCCTGCTCCTGTTAACCAGACACAAACAACAGACATAATATCAGTCGGGTTCATGCCTTACAACGGCCAATTTTGAGTCAACAGCCTAACAAAGGCTTTTTTAAATTTATTATTATTTCAGCACCAAAACATCTGTTTTAGATGAACTTGTCCTTGCAAAAAATGTTGATTTACAGAAAAACACAGTTAACTTGAAGTGAATTTGCCACAATACAAAAATACATGTAATATTGTGCAAAAAAAATGACACGATGAATGAAAGAATGAATAATTTCATGGAAAGTTTTTTTTTTTGCTTTACTAAATGGCTATGGAAGCCTGTTTCCGCCACTAAAACAAATTAATAAGGTAACTGCAACTTTATATCATGCAATTCTAACTTTATAACAAGCGATTGTTGATATAATCTCACAACTGCGAAAAAAAAAAAGTAATTAATTGGTGTAAACTGGCTTCCATAAATGGCTATACTGTATATGTGTTGAATTTGATTCTGTATTATCTATTTCATGGTGTTTTTTGTGTTGTTTAATTTGATGAACAATATAAGTGAACTGTTGATTCCTACTGTATGTTGATAAATGAGTTGATATACACATTTTGAAAATACTGCACCTGAATATGCTTAAGGAAAAAAATCTACTTATTATTATTATTATTTAAAAAAAACAACAACAGTTGTGTTGCTTCATATTTTGTGGAAACACGTACGTTTTTCCAGGATTCTTTGCTCAATAGAAAGTTGAAAAGAACAGCACTTATTTGAAATAGAAATCTTTTGTAATATAATGTGTTTACTGTAGTAATGGCAAAGACTGTAAGATGGCAAAGACATCTGAAGCTGCAGTAAATGAGCTGATTTACACACACGCACGCACGCACGCACGCACACACACACACACACGTCAGCTGAAAGACTCACTTCTTTGAGAATGCGCTCATTGAAGAACTGCTGGAGTTTCTCATTACAGTAGTTAATGCAGAACTGCTCAAAACTGTTGTGCTCGAAATACTCTGAGGAAAAGGAAGACAAAAACGAGAGTTTGGTATAAGCAGGAGTCAGGGTTCTGTTGGTTGAAAGACCAGTTACATGACATTTATGGCTCAAAAAAGTGTGTGGGAAAGTGTATTCATGAGCATAGACGGTCTCGTACCAAAGCCAGCGATGTCCAGCACACCGATGAAGTGAGCAGACGAGTCGAAGGGGAAGCACTGGTTGATCCTGGTGACCACGTGATCGAAGAGACGGCTGTAGATGGCTTTAGCCAGAGCATCACGAGCACTGCTGGCCTGCTCCACCTTCAGAGGAACCCTACAGAAGACAACAAGCTGAATGGCTATCCACTGGCCTCTCAGTTCAGCTGCTCTTCAGAAGGCGTGAGCAGCTCTTACTTGATGGCTGTGCCTTTAGCGCCCCCTGCAGTGGTGTGCATGACTCTGGTGGTCAGACTGACCCTCAGATCTTCCTCATCCAGACCCAACAGCTCCGCACAGAACTCTAACGGCTGACTGCACGTCTTCTTCAAGACACAGCCACCTGAAACACACACACACACACATGAACACCAGTCAGTAAATATGAACATTTCCATGTTATTTTTCTTCTTCATTTTCATCAACATGTGGTATATAACTAAGCTAACGGCTCATGTGGACTTATGCTTATGGTGAGGGAAATCAGCTCTGAGTAATGGCTTTATTATTGTTTAAGCCTATATGTAAAAGCATATGTTAATTGCTTTCTAAAACCATTCTCACATGAATTTAATTTCTATCATGATAGCGACTCATTGACTTGCAGTTTTATATTTACATAGTAATGTTACACAGGTTCAATAAATCAAACCCTTAAAAGAAATGTATTTGTATTATAAAAAATAGGCAATGTATTATTTAGTCCCTTTATTAAACCGTTGTTGTGTGAACAGTTGAGATGTCCTCTTAAAGGTTTTACCATCACTGTGGAAACATTTGGTAACACCAGTGTTATTTTATAATAATTTGTGTAATTTATATACTACTATAGTACATATTATCAATATTGTCAATAAGCTATTAATTTCATATTTTCAGCTTTCATTTTTAGTTGTAATGTCGTTATGTGCTTTTTTTATATTAATATTTAGCTTTAGTTTTAACTTAAATGTAAATTAGAAATGTTGCCTTGGCAACTAACTAAAAGCTTTTTTTTTTAAGCTCAAGTTTTTCATCTTTCATCTTTTATTTCTTTTTATTTCAATTAACAAACATTATATTTTTTAGTTTTAGATATCACTAATCCACGTCTAGCTTGTGCTTTTATGTAAAATATAATGTCAACATTTTTAAATGTACTCACATCAGCATATTTTGTCTAACTGGTAACTAACCAATTTTTCTCCAAACTAAACAGTTGGATATAAATGTATAAATCCTCCAAGTTTGTAGATACTGTTATAGGCTGGATTATTTTCACTGTCATCATCTTTAAATGAATAATCACACAAGTTGTTGGCAAGAGTATTTTAATTGTTAGCACCAAATCAGTGTGTGTTTAGTAACTGAAGCTCTCCGTTTACCTGAGGTGCTTCCAGCCTCCTCAAAATCAATGTTTCCGAGGTGCAACACCCCAGCCACCACCCTGAACATGTTGAGCTTCTCCGTGTCATCCAGACCGATCTTCTTCATGGCCACACACATTCTGTTAAAGTCGGCATGATCGTCCAGTAGAGGGTCTTTCAGAGGACCTGCCTTCAGATGCTGAGGAGCAACGGCCAAGTTAGACTCAGAAGAGAAACCTGTGAGTTCATCCAGGAGCCTGACTGCTAAAAAAAACTCAGCACAGCAACTGCAATCAATTTATTTCCATGTTTTGTTACTCAGTACTACATAACCAAAAGCATACGTGCAGCACAACACAATCTTCACGTGTGCTTGCAGAACATTTCATTTGCAAACTACTAGCATTAATAGGGATCTGCACCTCAAGATTTTAGAGCATAACTGAACTCCAATTCAGACACAGGAAAAAGCTTGTGTAAGAATATTGCATGGCTGCATCTTTGGTGAGCAATTAGTATAGCTGAAACAGCCAGGGCTACGTTTCCCAAAATCATCGGAAGCTTAAGTTGATCGTAGCTTCATTGGTGGTAATGGGTCTACGATGTATTTAGGCTTACGATGCTTTTGGGAAAAGCAGCCCTGACCCGTTCATGAGCATGTCATTTTGACCATGTAGTGTATCAAGCAGCTTCATCAGTTTGATGGTGGGGAACACGATCATTCAAATATATCCACAACGTTGCATCGTGAAACTCATGATATAGCGCCTTTCCACTGCATGGTATGGCATGGCTCACTTTTGGGGGGTTTTCCACTGGGTACAGTACCTGGTACTTTTTGCAGTACCATTACCAAAATGTGACGTGTAAACCCTGCTGATCACTGATTGGCCGGAGGGGCGGGGGGTCAATCCAACGATCTCCATTGACTTTGTATTGCGGGAAGCTGCCTCCTTGTCATTTCTGACTTACAACAAAAAACAGAACAATGCCTAAAAGCTGCTGTGACACGATGTACCTGTACAGCTGTTACCTGTAGCAGAAGAACCGCTTCTCAATATTATTAACTCGTCGTTGTCTTTAGGTCACGTCCCAAAACCATTC